GTGCCTCTATGTGTACTGTGTGTACTGTGTGTGTACATTGTGTGTACAGTGCGTGTACAGTGACATGTTGTTGAAGAATGCAGTGCCTCTATGTGTACTGTGTGTACTGTGTGTGTACATTGTGTGTACAGTGTGTGCATAGTGTGTGTACAGTGTGGCATCTGTGACTCCAGTAAACTCACTTTCATCTAGACACCCTTTTGACGGAGCAGGGAGAAGAACTACAAATGCGAGGACATATTTGTGTTTTTAAATGGAGGTGTGTGTGTGTGTGTGTGTGTGTGTGTCTGCTGTGTGCTCAGGTTCATGTTTGTAGATATAGCTGAATATTTGTGGTCTGTATGCAAACCTTTAGTAAAGTCTACTATTAAATCTGTGAGGCATCTTGGGAGGAAACCAGTTTTCATCCCTTTCTGAGTGAACCCAATGTGTTCTGTTGTCAGGCCAAAGAGGATTATGTACCAGTAATCTGTAATCTCAGTGTTCTCTCAAACAGACTCAAACACTGTTGAAAGGAGGAATTTACATTATTTTACAATAATTGAGGAAACTAATCAGACTATAGGTGTAGAATGAAAGAAAAGATGCAAAGCAGTGAGGCCACTGAATCTCTGGTTGATCTGTGGGGATCTAAGGAGTTTTATAATAAAACAATTTTTACAACGATGCCAGAATCAACACAATGTGTATTTAAAACAAGATCCAAAAGTTAAATGAACACTTATACAAGTATTACTGAAATTACAATCCTGTCACATTACACGTAATAAAAGCAGCAGTAATTCTCTGAACAATGACTCAGTATGCTAAACAGTACAAATCAAGTGGAGAAAGAAGAGTTTTAGACGAAGCCTGGTTGATGCTGAACAGCCTGCTCCACACCTGTTAACAGCCATGGTGTTCACTGAGAGTTTGTGCGTCACGTTTGTAGGTATATTTGTTGTTAAAGCACTTTGTAGGTTCAGGTTGATCAGTGCCAGAGGGTTGACCTCAAAGTCTTCCAAGAACTGCTCACAATTCTTCAGCCACCACCAAGAACACTGTACATTCAATGAATTCATTTTCCTCAGCAACCAGTGAAATGACTGTAGATGACATAATTACATGAGATTACAGGCAGGATGAACCATTCACAAGACTAAACCCAGGCCTCCACTAAGCAGAGCAGAACGGGTCTCTGTATAAAAATGTACAGTAGGCTCACTAGTGATGACATCATTTAGTCTTTACCCATGCCACAAGGCTCATTAGAGTTTTCTACGCAACAACAATGCTTTTATTATTTTTTTAATCTTGTCCCAGTCCTAAAACACCTGCCCACAACCTGAGCCCAACCTGAGCCCAGCTGGACCTGGCTCAGGTCTTGTGTGTCCCGCAGTGCAGAGGCAGTCCCTGGTCTCAGACTGGCTCGGTCTTGTTGAGTTCGGACCTCCTGCAGGCTTCAAGGCTTGTGTTTAAAATGAGCTTCCACTGCAGAAAAGAAGAGATTGTAAGTTCACAAAGTAGGACTTCAGTTTGTTCGAGAAAAGAAAACCAATTTTGACTGAAAATGTTCATTTTGTTGACATTTGTTATTACATGTTCACACATTGTAAACAGAATACTTCATGGTGTGAGACCATTCAAATGTAAATCCAGAATATTGAAAATGAACTTTTACACTTCCCAACAACAACCTGCGTATTCCTGCGGCCTCATTGGGCGGTTGATGACTCTTTGGAAAGCAGCTATCCAATCGCGTTGCTCAGCCTCGGTCTCGCATGCGAACAGGAACTTCCTGTCTGGTGTTATGATGGTGATGCCATGGTTCCAGTGGTAGCCCTGCGTGGATGGAGGCAGGCCAGCCAGGACTGTGTAGCTGTTCTCCTTGCTTCCTATGAACACCTCGCCTCGAGCGTAGGCATCCTGAGACACAAAGGGCTTCTTCAAACCTCTCATTAAACAACATTTTTAACTGCTGGACTTGATATTCTGAATGGACTCAGTAATCATCAACAATATTTCCCCTCAGACCTCCTTCAGACAGGGTCTGAACCAAACATGATGTATTCAAGCTGTAGATCAGGGTTATTCAACTAAATCACTCCAGGGGCCACAGTTACTGCAGGTCCACAGTTACTGCAGGTCAACAGTTACTGCAGGTCCACAGTTACTGCAGGTCAACAGCTGAGGGGCCAAACATCCAGTAATTAAAGTTATTATTTAAATAAACCAAGTATTACAAAGATCTGTTACCTTTGAAATAGTTTATTTTGCTGTATCATGAATACATCATACAGAACCCTATAAAAGTAGTGATAATTAAACATCAAAAACAAAAATATCACATTCTGCCTCTTATTTAACAGAAATATTATTTTGACATCCCTGACTTGCCAAAATTTTAAACCAATTTTAGTTTCACTTTCATAGTTTTATCTTCTGATGTTTATGTAGATAATAAACATGTCTATGTCTAGCTAAAAGAACTTAGAGTAATTAAAGTAGAAAACCAGGGGTTTGGACTTAAGAGATGAATGAACCTGTTGGTGGGCTGACCTTTAGTCACTCTCAGACTGCACTGTAAAAAATAACTTGGAAGATTTACTAGAGACAATTCTGTAAACAATTTGCACTAATGTTGGTTAAGTAAATTTAAATGCTACAAATTCATGTAATATTTACTCCTCGTTATCTAGTAAAAGTTATTAAGAATATACTTAAAGATTTGTGAATAAATCAGGTAAATTTTACTTAATTTGATCAATTAAATCTTGTAACAAATACTTGATCAATATAAGTAAATTTTACCTGATTTATTCACAAATCTTTAACTATATTCTTATTAACTTTTACTAGATAATGATGAGTAAATATTACATGAATTTGTAGCATTTAAATTTACTTAACCAACAGTTACTGCAGGTCAACAGCTGAGGGGCCGAACATCCAGTTCGGTTATTCCGTATGTTGCAGGTGTTTCYGAGAAACTGAGACGTTTATTTTCTAAACATGATGTCCCAGTGGCTTTCAAACCCCAAAACACATCACGGCAAAGGCTGGTTCACCCCAAAGATCCGGTGCCCCGGCACAAACAGAGCAATGTTGTATATGCTGTTAAGTGCCAGGAGGGCTGCGACCAGTTATACATCGGGGAAACAAAGCAACCACTGTTCAAAACAATGTCCCAACACAGACGAGCTACATCTAATGGCCAGAACTCTGCAGTTTTCACTCATTTACAGGCCAGCGGTCACTCTTTCAGAGATGAGGATGTTCTCATTCTTGATAGAGAGGAACGTTGGTTTGAGAGAGGAGTAAAAGAAGCCATTTTTGTAAAGAAAGACCGTCCATCATTAAACAGAGGTGGAGGCCTCCGTTTTCAGTTGTCCCCCTCCTACAGTGCTGCCATTGCCAGTATCACTCCACCCCCTGTTAACAATAGGTGTTAATTAGGTGTCAACGATAGCCATGTGATGTGAGCATCAGTCACATGGAGGCAGGACTTAAAAGCCTGAATTTAGCCTGAAACTCTCAGACTGAAGAAGTCTCTTGGAGGAGAGACGAAACGTTTCATTAAAGAAGAACCCGTCCAGAAGACCTACACAATTTTTTTCTTTTTTACTTAACCAACATTAGTGCAAATTGTTATGAGGATTTTTTTCTAGTAAATCTTACAAGTTCTTTATAACAGTGAACATGCTTCAAGCACAATGTTGTAGCATGACACCTCACAGCTACAGAGAGAGGTGTAGCTCTTGTTGTAGTTCAGGACTTCACCACCAGGTGGCAGTTTTGAAGAACCTTTATTGGATTCTTCTTCATGAACAACACAGACAAAGTGAAACTCACAGGTCTTATTAATGACTAGGCCTACCACTCTCACTTATGGTTACTTCTGCTGAACGCTTTAACACAAGATAACAAATAATGAACACACAAATTAGAGTAACACAACAGACTAATTGCTGAAAGAACAATGTTAACCAATTCACCAAAATGATTTAACAACAACAAACATGAATCCTACCCATAATCCTCCACTGCAGTCACATGACAAACAGCCAAACACGGCAGAATGCTACAATATGCATTCCCTGTTCCCTGACAACTAAATATCACCTACATTATGTCATCAAACTATTGCACACCAACAAATGTATTCAAGCAAAACAAACCAGACAACTTATGTTTTATTTCCACCATGTCTTGTCCTCTCCTTGAAAAGTGAAGCAAGGGAATGAGGAGCAGCAGCCTTTGTGTGTGCATGCAGCCTCAGTTTTAGTCCAGAAGAGTAGAAGTTACTTCATATGTTCATGTTTATGTGCTGTCCAGAAAAAACACTTCAATATTACTGGTAAAATTATATTAGCATTTACTTTTTTGTACAGTAATATTGATATATAATATAATGTGTATTGTTTATTTAGTAAAATCTAGAAGTTCAGAAAATTTGATAGTTTTTTGTAAAATTTAAAAAGGATAATTAAATAAATGTTACTACACCCAAAAATCATTCTTTTCAGTGTGGATGTGGCCTGCGGGCCGCCAGTTGACTAGCCCTTCTGTAATAGTTACAGTTTAAAGTCCTGCAACCTCACTGAGTTTACCTTAGTGTAAGCGTGTGTCAAACTCAAGGTCCACGGGCCACGTTTGGCCCACCAAGGGGTGCACCCCCACACCCAGAATTTTTTTACTGAATATGAATTTTTTATATTTCAAAGGTAAACTTTAAATCTATGATTAAATGCAACATAATAAACAAATTAGAAAAAGTAAAAGATAATAATGCCCTTAGCTGTTGGCTTTAAGTAATTGAGCAGTTTAGTTGATAACACAGTAATAATGTCTTAAAATAAACTGCTTTAAAGCCAGCATCGACCATAAACCACATCTCCCATAATGCATGTTGATATATGGGAATTCCCTGTAGGAAAGTGGGAGAGTTCAGAATTCAAGACTCGCCACAACTTATCAGTGGGTAAAACTCTCTTAGTTTTACAGTTAATAGTATTTTTGTTATTTGTTTCCCATTTAGTAACAAGAGGACGTGTTAAAACCTTGTTTCTATGCAGGAAACGCCAGGTAGAGCTCAGTTATAGTTTAACAGTGCTCAGCTCTAGCAATGAGACGAGGAACAGTTTCATGTTTAGTCAAAGTAAAGCATGAAGAGTCAAAGCTGGGCCTTTGAGGACCCCCAGAACACTCATGTGGCCCTCAGTGAATGAGTTTGACCCCCTGCTGTAAACAAAGACGTGCCTTGGTGACACTGCAGTGTTTAGAGTTTACAAAGAACTTGTTCTTTTTGTTTCAAGTGTTGTGTGTTCAAATATTCATTTCTCTAACAGCTTTAGCTAAGTAAGTAGTTTTCATGCTTAGAGGAAAGCTCATGCGACACCATGATAGTGTGTGGGGGAGTAGGTGGGCCTCACATCACTAGACTCCAGAAACACAACATGGCAGCTTCTGTAAACTGAAGAGAGGGGGCGGGGCCTTTCTTTGATCTGTAATAGTCCTACCAGAAGGATCACAAGCTGTGTTTCCATTGACCATGAAAATGCGCAAATGAGAATTTCGAAAATAAATTTGCTCAATGGAAAAACATTAGTTTAAAAAAAGTTGTTTTTCGACAAAACGTTTTTGCTCTAGGATGAAGTGGTTTTTCGGCCGTATCGAAATTGGTGTTTTTCACAAAACTGCAATGGAAACACTTTTTTCACATC